AGGATGTACAGGGGCTAGGCTTAAAGGGCTTGTTACATGGAGCTACTGGCTTTCTGAGAGGCACCCTGACCAAATTACAGAATCTCATTGTGCTCTGTCTTTTGGTCTACATGGAAAATATCTGCACAGACTGTCACCATGATCTCCAAGCAAGAGGTGCTGGGGTTAGTTTGCTGTAGGCTCGAGGCTTAAGGGTCTTTGGTCTAGGCACAGCCACAAGTGTGACTTTAAAGACCCCTGCAGGTGGGCCAAAGCTGATGAGAGATCTGTCATGCCCCAGTGTCTAGGGCTCTGTGGGTAGGTGTGTCAGAGTAGCATGTCTTCATCTCTCCTAGTCTCCTGTTCAGATACAGGAGTCGTTACTGGGGAGATCAGTCTTGAAAGCATCAGTGATTTCAAATTGTGTCAGTAAATGAAAATGGAGACCCCAATTTCAATTTTTTATTTAAAAAAATCTGAGGTTCTGCTGTAAGTGACACTGCAGCAGCAGGAACTGATGCTATAATTCAACCCTTGAGTCTCTTGGACACTTTTTGGAAGACAGCATGTGTTAAATACTTAATTTTCTGTTGACATTTCTTAATGTGTGTTGACAGTCCTAGCACAAGTCACCTGCTTTGATTACTTGTAGGAGTCAGAGAGTTCTGATTTACAGTCAGCCCAGCTTGCCCTACGGACACATCTGTGTATTTTATTCTTGTACACTGGTCAAAGCTTCATAATGTGGAAAAAAAGACAGGAACAGTGGAAACATTCCCTGTTTGTGTGGAGAATACAGCTCGAGGGGCTCCTGCTCCTGCCCATCCGCTATTCGTGTGGGGACTACAGCTCGAGGGGCTCCTGCTCCTGCCCATCCGTTGTTCGTGTGGGGACTACAGCTCAAGGGGCTCCTGCTCCTGCCCATCCGCTGTTCGTGTGGGGACTACAGCTCGAGGGGCTCCTGCCCACCCGCTGTTCGTGTGGGGACTACAGCTCGAGGGGCTCCTGTTCCTGCCCATCTGCTGTTCGTGTGGACACTACTGATACTGCTCAACACCATCATTGCTATGTTTCCTAAGAACTGCCCCTTGACCTTCTGCCTGTCTGTTGGCCCAGGTGAGGAGAAAGGACTGTGGAAGTAAGAGGCACTCCAGTCCAGTATGCCTTTCTATTGAGAGTCAAAGCACAGAGACCTGTAGCTCTGGTGCAGAAGAATTCTCTTTTCTGCTGGACAGTGGAAGAGCCCTTAGGAAAATAACCAGCAGGTGTCTAATGAAATACCACCAGCTCTCTCTAAAGGCTATTTGTGTAAGGGAAGCTCCTGATTTCTGTTTGCCTCCCCCTCACTGTCTCTTCGCGTGTGATTAATTTCTCTGGCCTTGTGCCATATTTTCTTATGATTGCCGTTTTCAAAGAAGAGAATGTTTCAAAGAAACAAGCTGCTTTGACTAATAACAAACGCATTACACTCTAGAAAGGGGTGACAAATTCCATTAATAAATTATCTATTGCCTAGAACATATTAACAGACCACTAACACACTTATTAACCTGCTAGGAAATGAGCTTTTCCAATATACACTGCAAATTATGGGGCCTATTTATTATGCATATATAAAGTGCAATCTGCAACATCTGATGTATTACCCCAAAAAAACTCCTGACTGAATACTGATAACAGTGTTTAACTGTATAAAAAATTATCCATTTTCTAAAATTATAGAAGCAGACAGAAATATCCACAGTGCAGAGAATAGTTCTCTGAACCCTCAGTATAATTGTGGGAATTACTATTTTCCACCAGGATATTCTTATTTAATTGGATTTGCTCATTGAATTTCATGATACCAATCGTCCTGGTTTCTCACTTTTCTCTCCCCTTCCCTCTGGTAAGCGTTAAATGAGCATGAAGGCATGAACGTCCAGATTTAGAGACAGTTTCTTCCCACAAACTGTCAGATTACTGAACTCTAGCCCTACCACTGGCTCATATTGATGTTTTTTTTTCTTTTTCTTCTCACACTGCTTGTCTGACTTTTTTTTAAGATTCTATGTTACTTAACTTGTTGTTGGTACTGCTGCTGTTCTGTTTTTGGTTTTGTGATTCCTTTAATGTCTTTGTATTGGAGCATACAGAAAAAAAAACATTTCGTTGCACTTTTGCACATTGACAAATAAACTCAAGTGAACTTAATTGAAACTGGTCATTTCTTAAAGAATGAATAAAAATAATATAAATAATAATTCAGAATCAGTAGATGTAAAATAATAAGTGAACCCTTAGTTTCCTTAGCACATGTAAGAGGGTAATTAGAATCAGGTAAACACATCATGCCACATTCAAAAGAGATTTCAGAGGACCTCTGACAAAGAGCAGCTGATGCTCATCAGTTTGGAGATGATTTCAAAACGAATTCTGATGATTTTATAACTACTGTCATTGTGCATATTAAGACAGTGAAATAATAAATGGATTAAGATTGTATGTAAGAGAGATGTGTCTTACCCACTGTTTGCTGGGCAGGTTGTGTGCTCCCACGATGATGCCAGCCAGTGCCAGCAGACTGTGGCACAGGTAGTGAGCCTGAAGAGAAAGAGGCACTTCAGAACTGGCAGAGCAAACATACAGAAGGCCCACTGGAGTGAGCCCCCCTCCAGTTTTCAGGGTGAGGACAGATTACTATGCTGGGTTTAACTTGCAGCATGGAGAGAGCAGAGACACAAAAATGCAAGGATATCTCAATAAATAAGGTAACTGGAGCTCCCATGATAATGCATTTATTCACACATAGCTCCAGGTATACCACACCCCTCTCCCACATGGTGTGCAAACCTGCTCAGACAGGTGTCCCATCAGGATGCCACTGCATCAGATCCTGAGAAGTAGGGATCTGTGTTCATCACCAGCAGCCAAGGCTTACCTGCACTCTAGCACTGGCTGCCAGTTATCGTCTAGGTGCTTCTTTCAGGAAACAAGGAGATGAAAATCGGCGGGTGCAGCTCAGGTTTGTGGTCCTGTGTACAGGTGCTGTGAGGTGGGCGGTTCAGCCCTTCCCACCTGTAATGCCATAACCTCACTGGTCTTGCACGTGGCCTGGTATTATTACGCAGCAGGATGTGCCTTGATGCAGTCCATTTTTGAAAAACAGCCTTCTGCAACAAGTCGGCCACCATGTTTGCACAAGGCCAGCCATTTTGAAACTGATACATAGTACTAGCATGGGCAGGTAGCACACAGTTCTATGGGCTGACAAAGCCCATAACAGACAAAGCTGGTAAAGTGGTATACCTATCCAAACCCACAAGAGGAACTAAGTTCTCTTTGTGAAAAGTTTTGTTACCTTATTGAACCACCCTCATACAATACAGTGCTTCTCCCTGAGAAGCAGAGAGAAAGAACACAGTGCAGTACACTGCTGATTTTTATAGCACAGCTAGTCAGGATCTGGCCTCAAGGCACCTTACAAAGCTCAGGTTGGAGCTGGGATTTAAATACAGAAAGTTAAGAAGGCACAAGCATGAAGGGAGTTCTGAAAACTTTCAAGGCCTGACTCAAGGATATGTCTCCTACTCTTTTTAAATTATATCCCGGGGATTTTAGAAGTGGAATCTATAGCCTTCACACTGCAAAGTCTGAACAAGAGTGTAAGGACTCAGACAGAAACAGAGAGACAGATTCGGAGACCTGGGCAGGGCCTGTGAGAGGGAAAAGAGTGGTCTTTTACAGCTCAGGGGTCAGAGACGGCTGACGGCACCCAGCACATACACCAAGAGGGGCAAAGCACACACACATACTTTATACAGCCAGACAGGGCTTCTGGATCAAATGTTTTCATTACTGAGAACTGCTGACTGGCTGAAAGCACAACCAGGAGACAGCAAGGAGAAGGAAAAAAGAATAAAAGAAAGATGTTAACAAGTGGTTTTCATGTGTGATGTGCAAAACAATCTTGTCACAAGAGTGGGGTGGGGGGGTTGTGGAGCGGAAGGGCTATTATACATTTTTCATTAAGTTTCCAGGCACTCAGCCACATCAAAGGCTTCCTGTGAAGAGCCTGAGAGGAGCACAGAGGCAGCGACAGGATGTGCTCATTAAATATCCCCTCCCCCCTCTCCCTGCCAATGTGGGTCCGCTCTCCTCCCCTCATTGCTCTGATGTCACAGAAGCATTAATAACCTGGCCCAGTCCAGAGTGCCTGACACTGACACGGCAGGCTAGGCCCTGTCTGGACATGGAGTGCGTATGGTATTGGCTGTGTGTCTGAGTGTATTAGCGTAGTCATGCACAGGGGGGATGGGGAGGATAAGGCGTGTAATAGTAACACACTAATGCATGCAGTTTACAACACATCTCGGAGAACATCATTAATCTGACGCTGCAAAATGTCACACTGGAATCCTACTGTCAGATAGCATCACACGTTACTGTAGTGCGTAACACCTACAGATGTCAAATTCAGATTTGATTAATGTCACACGGTACACGCTTAGTGTATTATAGATGTACCATAGAAGAGTATAATACTGCATTATCTAGCCTAATAAGCAGCCATATCACCCTGCAGCTCTCAACTGGCTACCTGAACCCACTGAAGCTAAGCAGGGTTGAGCCTAGTCAGTACCTGGATGTGAGACCTCCATGGTTGCTGCTGGAAGTGGTGTTAGTGGGACCGGATGGGGACACCACCCTGCCGTCTGTGTGGGTCCTAATGTGTGGGTACTGTGGCGGGGACACTGTACTGTAGTGGGTGCCATCTTTCGGATGAGACGTTAAACCGAGGTCCTGACTCTCAGTGGCCATTAAAGATCCCCGGGTATTTCTCGATAAGAGTAGGGAGTTATCCCAGTGTCCTCCCAATTGTCCCCATGTATGATTGGCTTGTACTTGCCCTGCGATGTTCTGGCGCCCTGTCCAAGGTGTACCCTGCCTTGCACTCGTTGCTTGCCAGGTAGTCTCCAGCTTCCCGCAACACCGTATGGTATAAAGCCAGACAAATGACATGACATGACATCTAGCCTAATATAGCAGAGTATGATAGAGTGCATAGCATATAACATAGCATAGTTCATTATTATATCGCATAAAAAGAGTACAGTATAATATGGACTCTCTTTCCAAGCTAATGAAAGCTAGAACAATTTCTGAGCTCTGGAAGTAACCCTTGACCCCTGCAGTTCCACCTGTGGGAGTGCCTTTTCAATGTATCTGCAGATTGAGAGGATTTCACTGTCCTACCTCCTCTGCCAATCACAAGTCAAAAAGCCTCTGTGCCAAAAAGAATGGTACTGCTCATCTGTGGGTGAGGAGGACAAAGCTGGGACCATTGCTCATGCAGCTGCTTATTGCCTATGTTGTGATGCCACATTGGGCACATGTGTTTTCCAAATGAGATAAGTGGGCTGAATACCCCCCGCTCGTTTGATGAGATCCTTTCTTCTGTTGACTCAAAAAGCCACTATTCTGGAATGCTCTGTTCCATATAAATGCTCTGTGCTTCACAGCAGTATGAATAGTGCTCAAGTATCTTGGGGTCATCAGATATGGTTTAAACATAAGAAGTTCAGCGATGCTTTATTTGAAAGGAGCTATACAGATACATTCTTAATTGATGACAGTATGTTGGCTGAGTGGCTCGCAGTGACAGCTGTTCTCTGGTATGTGCGATGTTGGCTCAGCTCTCATGGGTAAACACATTTTTCCTCATACATACAAAACATGTAATAAAGATTAATATGGTTTTGGGGGGGAAAGGCTGGTAATTAAACTTGGCTTTGGATTCTCCTGATAATAAAATGTCTAAATTGTACTGCAAAAAAAGCTGTGCCAAAGCTTGGTCTACAGCCAGCACAGAGATACTGTATGTGTGTGTCAGCGTGTATTTGTCAATATTTGTGTCAGTGTGTTTGTGTGTATTTGAGTGTGTGCACTTGTGTGTTTGTCAGCGTGCCTTTGAATGTGTGACTTTGTGTGAGCGCATGTGCTTGTGTGAATTTGGCAGTATGTCTTTGCTTGAGTCTGTGTGTCCTTGGGTCACTGTGTAATGCAGTGTGTCTCTTTGAGTGATGCGCAACTGGTACCGGGAAGGAAAATACTAAAGACTCCTATTGTCTGCTCAGCTGCAGTTTTTAAAACTGGTTAAATAGTTTTAAACTGTCTATACATACAGGAAACATAGTTTACATATAGAAAACGTACTGCAATATATTAGCAATTACAGCCTCATTACTAAGGCAGCTACAAGAAATATATATAGTTGTGTGTGTCTTTGCAATACAGTACGTTAGCGCATTATTTTGGGGAAACATTTAGCAGGGGATTCTTCCTCTTGGGTTAATGAAACACAAAGCCGCTCCAGTCTGCAGACATCAGATACTGCGAGAGGGCAACAGATACTCTTGAACTTGAGAAAACAGCCTTCATAAACCCCCCAAACTCTCCTTCTCACTTTCTCCCTGTCAACCGATCTGCTCTAGAACTGAGAGAAAGGCTGTCTGGCTTCAAACACACCTCTAACAATTGCTCTTTTACACCCTTCATCAACACAACAGACACACAATTGTAGCCTCATTTACAAAAGAAATCTCTCTCTTTATCTATATAAGTGTATTGAATTTCCTGCAGGCAGATCAGGGACAATTGTGCCCAGATTTGATAATGCTGAAACGTCTCTTCAGGTGAGGGGGACCTCGATCCCCTTCCTTTAAATAAAATCACAAGCTAAAAAACTATTTGAAATCTGCGTTTAAAGGGGATGGGATGTGTAGTTATGCTGTGCTCCATCAAATTGCTCCCTGGTTTCAGTCTTAAACACACGTACTGTAGTTAATTTCAATTTGCAGCCTCACATCTCACTGCTACTGTACATACTTCTGTTGCATTCCCAGAAAAAGCTCATAGAACACTGAACAGAATAACTGTCTCAAAGGAATGGCATTATACATTATACATTATACATTATACATTATACATTATACATTATACATTATAAAAAGAACGGAATCTCTTTAGTCTTGAACAATGGAGATTATGTGTGGATTTAACTAAAGTATTCAAAATCCTCAAAGGCATGAAGTCAGGTCATGGGATTACTTCACACTCAAAAATGAAACAAGGTCATATGTGGAAATAAAGAGGAGATGCATTCAGAATTTTTCAAATAAGAGGCACTACAAAGACTTCTGGGGATCTGATAAAAAGCTGCTTAACCAAGATGTTGACTGGGTGAAGTGGATTGATGGTATTTTGGAATTGATGTGCTACTTGCAATCAAAACAGCTAGATGGATAGAATAGCCTCCCGTGGTTTTATCTACTGTTCTGTAATCAGTACTTGAGTTTTTAAATAATAGAAATGGAGAGGAGTGTTTGTGTGGGGGCAGATCCTCCATGAATTTGTTTTCTAATGTGTAGAAGATAAGTTTCTTTCAGGTTTCTCTTAAAAAAGGGAATGCATTTTTAATTAAAAAGAACAAATCTTTTACTGGGGTACCTGCAGGTCCAGAGTGTCAGGGGATAGTGGGGGCAGCTGGGCCAGTCTCCGCTGGGCTCTCAGCTGCTCCTGCAGCACAGCTGGCTTCATTAGGACCAGGAGAGGACACAGGGCTGCAAGCTGAAAGACACACAGTCCCTACATAAGGGGAGCAGGGCACGCACACAGGCACATACTGTAGGCCAACAGTTTCACATGACAGCACAAACACAATGAATATCCAACAGACATAGAGTCTGACCTGGGAATGTCTGGGCAGGGGTCCTGGCTGTTTCTGCATGCCCAGCAGTTTGGACATGATGGCCAAGCTGAGGTGCCTGCGCAGCTGCCTGAAACACAGACACCAACCTCAATATGAAAAAGCATTAGAAAGGTCACAAACACAGAGGAGGTCAATCGGCCTGACTTGCTTTCTAGTGGTTTCTTGCATCTAATGGGTCCCACGATTACATCCTGCCATATTTTTTGAAGACTCATAGGGAATCGGTTACACCAATGTGGAAAAGCTTCCATTTCCAGACACCCACAATTATTTCATACAGAAATGTCCTCACTCTCTAGTCCTAAATGTCCCTACTTTTCATTTGTGATCCCAGCTTTCGTCTCACAACTCAGTTTATAACAATAATTTCTTCTATGTATTCCAACCTTATCCCTCCCCAGATCTACCCAAGCTCTTCAGCTGCACATTTTCACTTGGCTGTATGCAGATACACATGAGTGAATAGTTCAGCTGCTCAGAAGGAATAACAACACACACACACTTAAAATACAGGCTTATTTTCTCTTCTTCTTTGTAACAGGTTTCTGTTTCATTTACTTTAGTATTTTCCTTGCATTGACTATGTGCTTTATTCCACTAACCACATCCCCAGGATTAAGAAAATACAATTTGTATGGAAATAAAATTATATCCCCTCAAACTCAAAATTATGTGTACAACATGCAATATTACGAGATGATACAACAGAAATAATTATTTCCTGCTGCTAGTCATTAATATTTGAATTGATGCTCAGAAATAAATTTGTAATAATGAACACAAGGTCTGTGCCACAAGGTCCTGTGCCTGCTGACGAAAAATAAAAGACAAAACGCACAGTGTTATCTGGAAAGGGCCAAGATTCAAATCGGGCACTAGTAAAACCAACACTTAAGAAAGTAAGATTCATGGCAGCTCCATTAAACAAAAGCGAGAAAAGATATAGAGCAGGTTAGAATCCACCGCTTCCACATGGCTTTTGTTCAGGTAGGGTTCCTCAACTGGAGAAAGGCCTTTGAACCATTTGCAAGTCACAGCAAATCGCCAAGCAGTGGCCTGCACAGTGGTTAATACAATTGCTGCCTGCTCCTTAGGTCAACCGAATCAAATTATGCAAGCCAGATACACAAATCTTGTCTTATCTATGGTGTCTGGCATGTCAGAAAGGTAAGTGCTCAGTTTACACATTATGCAACTGTGTGCTGTCATTTTTACCTTGCTTGTAGATAAATGCACAAAATGCATTGTTTTTGTAAACCATCAGTAAATGTTAATGGCACTTTATAATTTTGATATTCTAGATTTGTATTCTTATTAACATCTTGAATAACAGTAATTAACAGTCTAGATTTCTTTTATGGTTATTATTACTAAGCAAGTGTATTTAAATAGCTTAGGATAATTTAAAAAGTAATGGGGGGCTGGAAAACCACCTCCCCCACTAAGGGCCTGTTTCTGTGTTGAAATGTCCAATTCTCCTGAGTACATAGCGTTTTTCTCTGCCTGTGGGACGGCAGGCCAGCACTGTGCTGTGGTCACCCTGCTGTTGCTATTTCTCTCCCTCCTGTTTTTTGCAGTAAAAGGGAGATGGGAATTGGAAATACGTTTAGTGTCTGTGTGCCTGAAAGCCAGGGGGAGACTGCAGGAGGCTGAGGTAGTGTCTGAGCAGACTAAATATGGTTTGTGTGTGCAGCATGAACACAAATGAGTATCAAAGCCTTTTGGCACCCAGGCAGCTTGGCGTCTGCTGCCAAGCCAGTGAAGGATTCGTTTTCTGTCCTGGAGGTGCGAGTGGGGCAGAGGGAACGATAAGGAGTGAGGCCAAGGGGAGCTCCACAGAGGAAAGCTGAGTGACAGTAAGAGAGGGAGTGACACACAGAAGGACTGGAAGAGGAGGAGAGAGGGAAGGAGGGGGCCTGGGTGGTTTGTTTCAAGCATTCAGTGACACTTCTTCTGACAGTTTGATTATGAAGCAGTGGGCAACAGTCTACCTGCGTCACACCACGTTCAGACATTCATTCGTAGACGTAACCTACATGCACACTTGATCTTACAGAACGCGCCTGTGATTGTAGGTACATGCGAAGACTACATATGCCAGCACAATCCCATAGAAACGCACAAACACCAAGACAAGATATACGAGGCTGAGAAAAATGTCACCGCATCTGTCACACTCTGTAAACAGCACTCTGCCTAACTAACTGCTTGGAAAGGAGCAGAGGGAGCTGGACACACAGAGAGAGGGAGTGAGAGAGCTGTAAATTAAAATTTCAGCTTTCATCTTTTCCTCTCAGCTCATGAATCCTTGAGCAAGGTACTTCAACTGTACTTCACCCCGGCCGCTGCAGTCAGCCCTGCTGTATTAATGAGCACCAGCTGCTTACTCTGAGCTATTAACCTGTGATGGACTACAGCATCCTATCCAGTGAATGAGTGTACAAGACTACCACGTAACACTACAGAAATCAAGAACAGCTTGGCTCTGTGAGCCATGTACAGTAGGCACATGAGTGATTTTATTCTTTGAATACTGCCATGTGACCCATGGAAACTGGATGGCAGGCAAATGGACCAAATTTGAAAGAAGAACTTCACATTGGGAAGGTTAGAAACGAGAGGAGGAAGTCCAGCCCTTCTAACTTGTTTTTGTTGCTAACAGGAGAGAATGTCGGCAAACCTGCCAAGAGGAATGGGGAAACCTTACACCAAGCAAGAGTGTCAGGCTGCTAGAGAAAAGACCAACAGCTGTAATTGCTGCCAAAGGTGCTTTCAGCTGATAAACAGAGGTCATGGGTCTGAATACTTTTGCAATCAACATTTTTTTTAGGTTTTTCTCTTTAGTTTTTGCTGATGTTTACTGAAACATATCTTTCCATTAGAAGTCTTCAGTCGGAGCATTCGGGTTTTAAAATAAAATATATTTTTAAAACGTATATGCATCATTTTGTAATTTCTCAATAACAAAACAACACAGGAAAGTTTTAAATAGAGTGTCTTTTTGTGAACAAGCCGTGTTGGCCTTAGTACAGCACATACAAAAGTGCTGAATTAATTATCTGTGCTTTGTACAGTGCGTTATACTCAAAAACAAGATGGAAAAAATAGTTTTAAAAGCCTAAAATTATTAAAATTTAACAGAATCTTCAATCAGTATTCATTTCTCAGTGATGAATTATTGAGCCTGTTCTGCAAAGCCTGGAGCCTGTCTGCATATATAAAATTATTATAAAATTGCAGCACTGTGCTCACATTTCTCAGTATATTTTGAAGTGGGTATGCTGCAGAAACACTGGAGAATGACTAATTACCAAACTGAAAAAGAAGTGAACTCATGAGACAACTGTGGGAGCTCTGCAGTAAGAAGAGCTGCTGGGCTGCTCTCTGGGTCTAGGTCAGCTTCCAGGAGCTGTGCTGAGGCCCTTCTGAGCCTGTTCACACTGCATCCCAGAGCACACAAGGTGCCAGCAGCAAAAATAACAAGCAGGCTCTGCACAGGACACCATCCTGATCCTTCAGTCATTCCTTAAGAATTAACTTATTTTGTAAATAAAACATACATTACCACCAGTTTTGTCATTTTTATTGTATAGATACCCAATTTGAAATCATCAATTATTTTAAAACTCAGTTCTCCTAGGTAAATGCATTATTCACTGTTTGTACCACAAGATGAGTATGTAACTAAGGCCCTTTAATTACATAATGTTTTTGTTTATTTTGAATGACATAATATTGGCTTATACAGTATCCAAGAACCCGCAGCTCACTGGAACTCCTTTTGCCTTTGCTGCACAGCACTCAGCTGAGAAACACAACCCTCAGAAATGCAACAAGGAAAAGGTTTATAATGGAGAGAAAATTAACACAAAGGTCAAGTGACACGCCCACCCGTCATTCAGTTCTTGATACACTGCAGGCTCCACAGTCTATAACTGGAGGGCTGACACTGACTGGCCAGCGGCACCCTGCCAATTGTCACAGAGGCAGCGCACATGACCCAGAGTCGAACCCTGCAAGGTCAGGGCAATCTAGGGTTCAGTCCACTATCCGAACAAGCATGACTTTGTTTGCCCAGCCTCTCAGAAGTGAGAGTTTACCACAGTAAATCTACAAGGCATTTTCACACTTGTTACATGTTTTTTCCATGCCTAAACCAAGCATAATGACTAACCCCACCTCCACATCCTTTGCCATATTTTTAGTATGAATCTTTATTTTACAAAATGTATTCTCACCATGTTATACTTGCTTATATGAGCATTGAGGTACAGTACCTAATTGCGATATAGGGCTCTCCCATGATGCCTGTCTCCAATGGAAACCTGCACTAGACTCCATTTTTTCAAGGCAGGTTTCCCCTTTCCTTCCACCCTCGAAGAAGCTGGTTGATCTTCTAATGTGGAGGAGAATTTTGCTCATCACACTAATTCACTTCCACTGACTGTACCATGCTGCTCATACCCTTACCAGCAGGCCAAATTGTGGGGGACAGCTAGGGTATTAGAAGAAGGTCTCTCTGACATTAGCAGTACAGAAACAGAAGCCAGCAAAACATATGCCCAGGATGGTCCTGGAGAACCACAATATCCCCTTTACTCAAATTCTACATGCACTGGAACAATTACATTTTGACAAATTAAGAAGTAAAGATGTTCCAACTGAATAATTCAGGGATCTTGTAGGCCCGCAGTAGGCCATTACCCCTATAACTGATCAAATTAACTTGATGAACTGATCTAAACGTCACGATGTCCTAGTTTTGCTAAATTGATGAATTTATGAAACCTGCATGTCTGTGGCTCTCCAGGGTGCAGGGCTGTTCTTCCCATACAGTTCCATTAACGCTCATGTACACTTATTACGTTATCAAAGTACAGGAAAAAACAGCTCTGTGTGTCTGTCTGCCAGTACAGTGACTTAATGGTTGAGCAGCAGGAGATGTCAGGCTGCTTTGCAGTTAAAATGTAATGGGTGAAAACAGAGGCCTTATCCCTTCTGATCTGACTGAGTCTGGTGCAGGATGAGAGGATTGCAAAATCACCATCATAAGAGACAGTGCCCGGC